TTGAAAACTGATATGGATTTATAGTTTTTACTTTATTTTTTATTTCATTTAATATTTTTTTTATAAAACCTGCGTTGAACAGCTGACAAAGTGAAGGAATTTATTCTCTTTAACTAAGAGTGTAAATATTTTCGAAAATTCCAAATTCACCACAAGAACGTTTCTCAAAGCCCGATAGCGTAGTATCGAAATAATATTTTGTTAATCGCTGGGCGGGGTGGACAGCCATTATGATATATTTTATCTATGAAAGATGGGATAATAACGCAGAAGAACAACGACCTTCCCCATGTATGAACAGATGAAAGAGTTGAGAAAATAACCGTGAAATCTAACATCTATCTCACAGAAATAAATAAAAAAGGAAAAATAAATATGACCACCCAAGTCTCCAGACTGCATTCAGTACTCTAGCCGCGAGGGTATGGGGATAAGGAGTAAAAAAAAAAGAATATTACATGAAAAAAAGTTATAAACAAGCATAAAAAATTGTAACATCAAAAAGAAGGATGCGTGTAAGAAATGATTTATGAAGAAATCTGTCATCATGGAAGAAAACATGCATAACAGCTTACGCATGCGCAGCTCCTTGTGCAAACGATATTTAACAAAGATCGAGGAGCGTAAAAATAAATAGGAAAAGTGTGTATCCTAGCGAGATGGAAAAGTTAAAAATAAAATCATTATCTTTCACAGAAAAAAAAAGAACTTTCAGTGACAGCTCGTATTTCTGATGGCTTTTTCAACCTGTTCGAAGCTAAAAAAGATTAAATAGAATAAAAAAACAGCGAGAGAAGTGCGCTAGCATTTCATGTTGGCTGCCTCAGCATGTTAAAATTGTTATTTTTCCGACGCAGAATTTGTTTTATAAGCCTCTTTTTACTCATTGTTTATTTATAATTTTCTCGTTTTGTGGGAGTGGGGATCAAATAAGAAGCTAAGAGAACTACTGCTTCTTAACTGCGAACTTTTAACCGCGCTGTTTCGAAAGTTGTTGACTGGATTGCATATTTTACGTGAACCGAAGAATTTTCAAATACGAAGAAAATGTTTTTTTCGCGAATTCATACATTTGTTACTTTAATTATCTGGAAAAGGTAAAGATCACAGATTTCTTAAAAGTTTTTTTCTTTCTAAATCAAGGATATAAAAGTTTGTCTCATATTGTTAAAGTACAGTTAAACTCTAATTTGTTTGTTAAAATTTACTATAATATAAATTTGTTAGTTAAAACTTAATATATATGTTAAAATTTACTATAATTTAAATTTATTATATGTTAAAATTTACTATAACTATTGATGTAAAATAATTATCGTCTCTCCCTTAAATGCTTTGATACGCAAGATTTCATTAGAAAATAATAATTAAATCATACTGTTATTAACAACATTTTTCAATTAATTTTGATTACTATTTTATTTTATTTTATAACAGTCGTTGAACAGCCAACCCAATTTTTGAATTTACGACTACTAATGTTCAACTCCGTAATTTCGAACCCAATCCAGAAGACAATGGAACTCCCAAATCAAGTATCGGAAAAAAATTTATTACGTGGAAGACTTTTTGATGGAACTAGAACGCATTTGCATTACATGCAGACGGAAACCACGAGAGCCTTCAACGGTTAGCCTGATTTCAAGGGGACTCTAAACCCATGATCCTTTTACCACTGAGGATATTTTACGTCAGCATTGTGGTCGGCGCGAGCCGGGTGCAGAATTCGTTTCCACCAGCCACAGCTAGGATTTGAACTCGGGTCACCTAATTAGGAATGTTTATTTTAAATTGTAATATTATTAACTGAGATTATTTTAATTTTGAGCATGCAAATCCACCATGAGTAAAATCATAATTTTACTCATAAATGTTGAATTTTAGACTTTAGCACTTTAAGGAGACTAATACGAGATAAAGTGTTTTGAAAATTTTGTCGAATAATTTAAACGTATTTCATTTCTTTAAAGTCCCATGCTGAGAGAAAATGGATTCTATTCTCCGTCTATCGGAAAATTGCAAAAACGAAATATAAACAAAAATTCAATCGAAAAAAAAAAACTTTGATATATTTAGATGAGAAAAAAATTTGTTTGTTATATTTTGTATTTGTTTTTTTGCCAAATTTTCAATTATATTGCGTATAATGATAGTGAAAGTAACTACTCCAAGGAACACCATGTGGAAACCGCTAATCTATAAAAATTCTTTCATCAAAATTCGCTCGTACTTACGAGTCATCAATTATTTTATTTCGCAGTCATAAATTACTTTAACACCACAGTCATAAACTAATTTATTTTAATATTTCAGTGGCAAAGATTGAAATAAGAAATTAATAAAAAATAATTTTTTTATTCGCTGACAATTATTAATCAGTCACATTTTCTTTAAGAATGTATTTATTTTAACATTATTAGCAGCTTGTCACTGTTCACAATAAACACTTTATTTTGAACTGAATTTAAATACAAGCATTTGATAACAATATTTGCTAGACCTTAATGATAAAAAATGTCCTTTTTCGAACTATTTTTGGTACGATTAATGGCAAGCACAGAATGAAACATATACAATGTTAACATGTACTTCATCTAATTTCAATAAAATAGATTCTGATTTACCCTCCAAGGTCAATCATTAATTTGATCTTCAATAATTAAGTAAGATGCGCTTCCGGGTTATTCCACACGGAAAAATATTACAGACGTATTTTTTTTTCTTTTCTCCCATAATAATTTTTTCCCATAAGAGAAAAATAGAAAAAAGGCCCCTTATGAAAATTTCTTAAAATGAAAATAATTTAACATTTGGAGATAAACATATTAGTCTGCACACTGCAGGAACAAGAGAAAACGCATTTATCTGCTACTTTAGCGACCATTTTATGTTTTATTTCAAAATTTCAGGAGCTCTTCTAGATTGAAATTAAAATATTCAATAAAATATGGATCGATTTTAAAATTTAACAGTTCTTTGAATATCAACAGTTAAAAAAAAAGCATAATAAATAGCTTTTGAATTTTGTATTTTAATGAAAAAATAAACTAGATCTCTAAAAATAGCTATTGAAAACTATATTTTTCGACGATCAACACATTTTATAAATATGTGCAAAAATTAATTAATTTCTACGTGTAGTTCTACATCTGCGGGCCAGGTGACCGAGCTGTTAGCGTGCCTGACTGTGAAGTCAATGGCTGAGGGTTCGAATCTCGCTCATGGCATGGATGTCTCTTTTGTTCTTTTTGTTTTAATAATTCAATTTTTTTTAAAAAGAAGGTAAAAAATTCCTGTTAAGATTTCGGAGTTTCTTCATACACACGAATGTGATAAAGCCCCAAAAAAAGGCTGGCGCACAGATAACGAATGTACATAGCTATAGGTAAATTGCCATTCAGCAAGTGATTAATTTTTAAATGATTTTTTTTGTCAAATGTAAAGAGCGATTTTCTTGCAAGTATAATCCACAGTAATGGTTTAGAAAGTCAACAGAAAATATGTAATGTAATAATTTGGCTGAAAATTACAAATGGTAAGAAATCTTTGAGAGGCAGTGACCCAAACAATGATTTATTTAAATATTTCTTAGTTTTATTTTACATAATTTGTAGGCTAAAACAAAACTATCGATCTGTTTGTCTGCCAGTATAATCACGTTTTTTGAGGAAATGTTTTAAGACCAATTTTTTAAACGAAATTACCTAGTGTAAGTAAAAGGATATTATTAAAAAAAAAGATTACTCCAGATTCATAACAGCGGAATCAGCAAGAACACAGGAGTACAAGTCGTGTAGTTGACATAAGACAATCCTCGTTTCGGTACTATACGTACATGTTATGGTACAGAACATGGTACTTGTTATGGTACAGAAAAAATTGCCCGAAAAAATATTTTCTCTATGGACATTTCTTTAAAAAGAAAACTCACCTAAATTTGATCAGATAATTTGAAGTTAGTTGGAAATATTTCTAAGTAGTAAATATCTTTAACTTGCTTCGTTATGGCTTTCGATACACGACTTTCAAATTCAATAACCAGAACAGTTAAATAAAATTTGATTTAATCTGAGATCCCGATGGTTTGTCTTTATTGGGTTAACAATGTTCCAACAACCCCGAGAAACTTTAATGGTTCTCACCTTTCCTATATTTTTTTGGGGTGGAATTTAAGGCATAAATATTTCCTTTGCCTAAGATTTAAATTTCAGTTTAAGTCAACTATGTTTCAACCACGTCAGAAACGTTGTAGGTTGCACAACTAAGGGAGATAATAAGAAAAAGAGGTATACTCTTGTATCAGATTTACAAGTTACATTCTTAGGAAGGTACAAAAAAGAAGTTCTTCCTTTGATCACAAAAATTTGTAAAAAAATGTCAAGCTATCTAAGCAAGTGTGTATAATTCTTGTAACTAGAGTAAATACGTGTACATTCGGCAAATCGCCCAACCATGGCCAAGCACCTAACCTCGATTTCCAGGGTCTCTATCTTTTAATGGCCATGGTAGGAATACCACGTAATTTCGATGCAAGTAAAGCGACGTGGACAGTGCCTGAGCTGGTATCCTTCTCGAAAAACTTCCCCTTAACAGAAAACGAGAGGGCTTTATATACGACAGATTTAACACTCACCTTGCTGCGTAGTCTAAGCTGACGTCATTTTACTTACCAGTTCATTGGAAATCCATCAATGATCAATCAGTTACAGATGCAACCAATAGGAACACGTTTATATTTGGGATAAGAATACGAATTATCCAATAGGAATGATGCAAAACGAAAGATTATAGTGGAACAGCCTCTGACTTGGGCAACTCTATACATGTCAATTGTTTAGTCGGCTGAAAGGATCGAATTCACGAATCCAGCTCTTCACCAGCGGTGTGAGCGACGATGCCTTAACTGACTGCTAAACCGGAGAACTGTATATTTATGCATATAATGTTAAATAAATACAAGTAATAGTATTTGAGGAACAAAGGAAAACAGGTATATTTACGTCTGCAGAGTGCTGAGAGACCATCCCAAAGAGAAATGGCGAGGCAAGTTCTCTTCTTCGATCCAACAAGTGTGTATCCATGATCACAGGAGAAGTGACATTCAGTCTCGAATACATTGTCTGGCGTAGTGCACGTCATGTAACCATGTCTTGGTGGACTCAGGGCAGGACATGTTTTCACTGGAATTAGATGAAATAGAGATCAGATGTATTGTGTTAATTTTTAGGCCGAGTGAGTTCGTTAATATAATTCTTTTTAAAAAGTGAAATTTAAAGAGACAAGCTTTATAGGAGATAAAGATGATGGTTTTAATTAGCACAAAAGAAAAACGTTATCAAAATTTAATGAAAATCATTGCTAAGATCAATGGCTTTAATGGTTAAATTATCCTCCCATCAAAGCAAACTTTGAACATTACCAAGGCTAAGACAGCCTGTTTACGTCATTTACCAGTGGTTTTTACTAAGTAACGCTTTTTATTTGGCGACTTTTTAAAATTAAAAATAATTTATATCCTACATACCAATCAGAATATAACACTTTTACTAAACGATAATCAAATATAAATTGATAATCACTACTTATGACTAGCATTTTTTTCAAATGGATGAGGATTAAATGTATACTTTAAAACTTATGTTACAATCACTATCCGTTCTATAACCATCCGTTAAAAAAAGAATAAAAATAAAGCAATATGATTCAGTAATTCTCATTAATGAAAAGTACTAAGATTGAAATAAGAGAAATGATGAAGTCACAAGAATTAAACATTTTACCTAACGTAAAACTGACAATACTTGAATTCTGCACCAATATGTATCAAACATGAAACAATAATAATGAAATCATCATTCTTTTACTCTAGTCAATAAGAGGGCCAAGCTGGTCACGCATAATGCCACCTCTATTACTAAATATATAGGCAATATTTATGTGAACGATTCTATACTAGCAGGGGTCTGTCCAGACATTTTGTGAAAGGTCCTGTTTTTGTAAAATTGTGAAAAAATTACTCGTAATTTGTGAATATAAAATAAAGGTTAAGTCACATTCTTTCAACCTGGGTCCTGCTTTTGTGAATTTGTGCAAATAGGGTCCTGTTATTGCAAAGTACTCTTTCAAGGAGTTCTTAAACTGTAAATAGATACAAGATTATGCTCAACACTGTAAAATTATAATTTAAAAAAATTATAATAAATAAAAATAAAATTATAATTATAATTATAATAAAAAATAATAATCTAAAATATAAATTATAATAATAAAATTATAATTAATGGAATTTAGCCTGTACTGCTGAACGCAGAATATTAATTTCGGACGAATAATGGAAGAATCGTCTGCCGAAGACAAAACTTAATTCGTTTACATCCATTTTTCTTGTTTTCTGCCCTGGGAAGGGTTTATTCGATTAACAAAATAATAATGAAGATAAACAAATTTGTGAAGGGTCCGTTTTTAAGTTAAAATATTTTGTGAAGGGTCCGTTTTTAAATTAAAATATTTTGTGAAGGGTCCGTTTTTATGAAAAGATATTTTGTGTAGGGTCCGTTAACGGACCCAAATTTCTTCTAAACAGACCCCTGACTGCTGAACACAGAATATCCATTTCGTACGAAAGGAAGAAGCGTCTGCCGAAAACAAAACTTAGTTCGTTTACATTTGTCTTCCCCCCCGGAAAGGTTTATTAAATTAACAAAACAATAATTAAGATAAACAAATTTGTGAAGGGTCCGTTTTTAAGTTAAAATATTTTGTGAAGGGTCCGTTTTTATGAAAAGATATATTGCGGAGGGTCCGTTAACGGACCCAAATTTCTTCTAAACAGATCCCTGACTGGTCAAACATTACATATTATAGTAAAAACAATGCTTAAATGTTAAGTTTGCCGCAAGGTCAAGGTCTTTGGCAAAGGCCGCAAGTATGAAGTGCTCAAAATAAGATTATTTGTCAAATAAAATTAAAAGAAAAAGAATTGTAGAAAAGTTTAATTAGTTTATACGTTACTCCAGCTTACGAATTCGTTTTTTTTTTCATAGAAAATTTTTCTTTTAATTATTTGTTTGGGACAGCTATTATGAAGATTATAAATTTTGATTTGATACGATAAGACAAGAGCATTGTCCAGAGAAGATCGCTTTTTCATTTCTTTTTTAGTTGCAGTATTGAAATGGTTTATAAATTACAAATAAAATTCTTTTGAGCTAAATTACTGATTCAGTTTAGAGAAATATGCAATTGCAGGAATGTTCTAAAACTCGTGTTAGAAAAATAGATGAAATAAATGCATTGACCAGATGTTGACTCCAAAGATGTTGACTCATTTTGGCCCAGGTTCTAGACATCGATATTGTACAATTGAAAATAATTATATTTCTTACTTAAATCGAAAATAAGCACCTTTAAGCACTTTTTAAAAACGCTACGCACCTTGTAGTAGATATAAATAATTGTGAATGAATAAAAACTAAAGAAGGATTACTTTTGCAGATAGCTTCTTCTCCCGTCCAGGATCCATTTTCTGCACACAAACGGATGCTGCTCCCTTGAAGCTTGTACCCGGAATCGCAACGGATCCCACATCCAGCATTAAAAACACGACTACAACTTCCACTCACAAAGTATCCGTGATCGGGAGGATCGAGGGGTGGACACTCCAGTACTAGAAAAACGCATTACTACAGTATTTGAATTTTGAAACCACAGGAAAATTTAGTTCGTTTTGTAAAATATTATGAATACATGAAAATTATCATTATATTCAATATGAATGAAAATTATCTATCCATTTTTGGGAGTATCATGGAAAAAAATTATGGTAACTTAATTCTGTTTATTTATAAATTAAATGCTTAACAAGTGTAGTAGTTTATTAAAGTCGCACTAGAGCTGTTGGCGAAGGCTTAATAAATGACATTCTTAGAAGGTGCAAAAATTATCACTGAAAAATAATTTTTTTAATAATGAGAAAATATACTTTGCTGTTGATATATTTTTTTAAGTTCATGTTTCCAAATTAACTAAAAATGTCATTTGGAGCATTCTTATACAATGAGCTCACCTGCAACTCTCGTCTTCACTAAACAGATACAAAGGTCAAAAGTTCGAGTTTGAGTCTCTAAGTCTCCAAAGAAACTTGAAGATTAAGTGAAAGAAATATTTTTGTAAAAAAAATGCTGCTTAAACTTGTACTAAAAATATACATATCTTTATGTTATATATATACATTTGTATGCCAAATATAATTTTTATTCCTACTGATGTGAATTTTCATCAAACAAATGTACGAACCTAGATATAGAAACAAATGAGAAAAAAACTACTCTTTGTTTTTACCACTTTTTTTAAATTTTACTATCCTATATTTTACCTTTATCATTATAAAGATTATTTTCTTAATTATTCTATATATATTCAGAGCTGTAAAAGGCTACTAAGTTTGGTTAAAAAAGTATATGAGTGTTTCCTTCCCAGTACAACACCGAAGTCAAGCATCACTGGCTGCGGCCAGTGTGCGGGTGGGTGACCACTTTGATCAGCCTATAAAGGGATCGAGGGTATGCGGTATCGGTCCTCGTTAAACTGTTCTACCGTGAAGTGCTCGACGTCGCGTGCAGGTCGTTGGGCTACCGAAGCAGGGGAGTCATCCCTTCTGCAGAGGATCAAAATTGTGATGTAATGTGTTCGAATCATCCCCAGGGATGTTTCCCAGACCGTCACCGATAGCCCATTGCGCAGCTCCAGTGTGACATAAACAACAACAGCAATGAGTGTTTCTGTGAATGCCGACATTCACAAAATTATTAATATCATTATTTGGTTTTACTAAAACATATCGACATTCAGAAATCAATGAAGAATCTTCATAAATGTAAATAATGTAAACGAATAAACGAAAATAATATTATATATAAACGAATTATTTTAAAAGGTCCTTTACATTGTTTCCCCTAATAATCCTTCCCTTAGTGAATGGTAAATATCAAAATTCCCCTGAGTAAATAAGAAACAAAGACATTTAACAAAAATATTTTATCAAACATTCACCATCATTTTATGCTAAATATCGACATTTTCTGGCGTAAGTGAGAAACAATATTTAACAAAAATTACATTGAACGACGAACAAATTATTTAAATACAAAAAAATTATTTTTTTGCTTCAATATCTGTTAATAATTGAAGATCAAAGAGGAAAAACGGATTATGTTCATAAAAGCTGATTCTGTGTGTGTGGGGGGGATTTAAAGGTCTGAGATTCTTCAGAAGATAGAATACGATTGAAATCGTGAAAATAAAAATATAAATGAATATTAAAAGCATTTATTTGCAACCAAGAATTGTTTTTTTCATCAAAATTCCCGTTCTTCCCCTTTGATCTCTAATTTCGAAGACCTCTAAAATGTTATTCATAGGTGTCCCATCTTTTCTACATTGTTTAAAATTTCATTGAGTATCCGATTACATTGTTTAAATAAATAGGTTGATTCGTAAAGATCACTCTTAACATATATTTTTTAAAAAAAAGGTCGGAAAAGAAGGGAAAAACTATGGATATAGGAGCCAACCGCTTTAATCTTAAATTAATATTTAAGCAAGCAAAAAAAAGTTCTAGAGATATGTCTAATTCCTGTTTTTTCTTTTCTTTTTTTTAAAAAAAAACCAGGAGAGAACATTCGAGAGCCTGCTCATAGCAGGCTAAAACTTATAGGTGTTTCTGATAATTGTCTTCCGAATCCTCTGTGTGTTGCCCCCTGAAAATGAGCAGGTTTTGATGTCATTCTATAAAAAAAATTTGTCAGTTGAAATGTAAAACGTTCAGCAGAACATGTAAAAAGCTATCATTTGACAAATTAAAAGGATATCAGCATGTAATATTAAACATGATTCGTAAAAGCTGTTAACTGAATTTATAACGGAAATAATTTCACGATCCTTATATTATACACTTATATAATTTAAGATAAAAAATTTAAAATTTTAAAAGAATTGTTAAAAGAATATTTTTTGCGTTATGGAATAATGTCAAAAGAAATATTTTAAACTCATATTATTTATAAAAGATTATAATATTTTAATATAAAAATTTATTTTAAATAATTAATTCTTAACTCTTTAAAAAAACCTATTCAACTTTACCTTTTTAACAATTGAAATCAAGTTTTATATACAATTCCATTCGAAACAAATAATGGAATTTTATTTTCAAGTAATATTTATTTAAACATAGTTTTAAATAATGTGATAAACTAGGTGGTAATGCAATGTAACACTGAATTAATTGATTTATGAGTGGATAAGCAATTTTGCTTACCTACACATTTTTTTCCGACTCTTTGAAATCCAGTTTTGCAGACGCATTGGTCAACACTTGTGCTTCCAGGATAAGAAACTTGGTTCACATCTGGACAGGGCAAGCAGGTGGAGATATCTCCTGGACTTGTGGTGGGCCGAAAGGTGCCGGCGGGGCAAGCTGCGATTAATATAAAGGTTAAAACATGATTTAAAATAAATTAGTTTATTGACAAAGATGTTTTTTTACAAATTTTTTTAGCAAATTGAACTTTATTAAAAATATAAAGCAAATATTATATTTTGCAAATGCAAATTTTATTATTATATTTTGCAAAAGTATTACATAGGATGAATGATTGCATATTTTCAAGAAAGTGAAAAAAGATATGTTACGAGAGCTCAAACACGTTGCAGATAATACGTGAAAGTGGGATTATATATTAGGATTAATATCACAAATCATGACATATTAATAGATTTATATATTAAGCATCTGAAATGGCACGTCATAATTGCGCAATGCATTCATGCATTAGATATGCATTCACTAGATGAGTATGCATTCTCTTTGTTAGGTATGAATAGTTTACAAAAACCAAAACTAAAATGCTATAATATACAAACATCAATAATATTTTTGGAACTTGTGTCATCGCTACATATTTACAAATCGCTATATATGTTTCAGTAAAGAATCATCTTTTTAACTTTTTCAGTAGCACAACAGCTCTGAGTGCGCCATGGCCTTCCCCAGAAGTCTTTTCCAGGATTCTCTTCGTTAGATGACTGTCCTCACAATTTTTGGTTTTTAGAACATCCATGTCTTTTTCAAGACAGTCAATCCATCTAAGGTGAAGTCTGCCTCTTTTTCTTGTTCCTATAATCTTGGCTAGAAATAGGCAGTTTCGATCTTCCTGCAATATAACCAGATGTCCAGCCCATTTTATCCACTATATTTTCAAGTATTTCACGACAACAGGCTCTTTAAATATTTTATATGATTCCGAATTCGTTCGCCTTCGCCATAAGCCGTCCACCTGCGTTCTACCACAAATATTACTTATAATCTTTTTCCCAAAAATTGCCAATGCTTCCTCATCTCTCGAGGTTACAGTCCATGTCTCGATGCATACAATAAAATAGATCTAGTAAGTGTTTTATATAAAAGAAATTTCCTTTTAACACTAATTTATAATTTTCTAATTATTACATTTAGTCATTAATTGTAATTTAATTGAAGTCCATTAACAGTACATTTTAGCAATTGGATGACTTCAAGTAACTGATCAATTCTTTAAGGCGAAGGCAAAGTTTATAGATTTTTCGATTTTATAAATAAGCAGGAAAAAAAGTTCATACTTTTTATTATTTCACAGTGTTTAACGGTAATGAAAGCTGATTTCTAAACTAAGTAATAAAACTGTTTCGAATGAAATGAATGAGTTTCGAATGTGTGCAAAAGAACCATTTACATTTTCATACCTGCCAAATTTTAATCCTTTCTAGGATGATTTTTCCCAGCCAGGGGTCTGTCCAGACATTGTGTGAAAGGTCCGTTTTATGTAAAATTGTGAAAAAATTACTCGTAATTTGTGAATATAAAATAAACGTTAAGTCACATTCTTTCAACCAGGGTGCACTTTTGTGAATTTGTGCAAATAGGGTCCGTTATTGCAAAAAAACTTTTTCAAGGTGTTTTAAAATTGTCAAGACATACAAGATTATGCTCAACACTGAAAAATTATAAATAAAAATATTAAATTTTAAAAAATAAACAGCAATTGCAGCTACTAAATTAGAGATGCAACATACAAATATTTGGTATTTAGCCTATACTGCTGAACGCAGAATATTCATTTCGGACGAATAAAGGAAGGAGCTTCTGCCGAAAACAAAACTTAGTTCGTATTGCATTTGTCTTTCTCCCCCCCCCTTCCTGGGAAGGATTTATTCGATTAACAAAACAATAATGAAGATAAACAAATTTGTGAATGGTCCGATTAAAAGATAAATTATTTTGTGAAGGGTCCATTTTTAAGTTAAGATATTTTGTGAAGGGTCCGTTAACGGACCCAAAGTTCTTCTTAACAGAACCCTGCCAGCGGTAGTAAAATCGAAATTGAATTATAATTTTAGGCAGAAACATACGTGTAATTTTGATAAATCTTAAACAGACAACCATGATGCTATCACAAATATATGCTTAATTTTTTTAAAAGTAGTAGTAGTCAAAGTCATTTCAAATTAAGTTTATAAATGCAAAGAATATATAGAAAGCATAAACTTTACTACCACTTTTAGTATAAAAATAAAATTTTAAGCAGAATGAGTAAAAGTTGGCAGGCATGCACTTTATATACTAATTAGTGAAATGCCCATTTCTCAGACTCGCCTCTTTTCCTAAAAATTGTTTTAGGCGCTTAATAATGTTTAGTTTGACTTAATGAACAGTTAGTCTAAATAAGTGGAGGGATTATGTCAGAATATTGCAAAACACCCATTTGTGGGTTGGACGTGGGAACGCATTGGTTGCGCATTTTGAAAACATTTTTTTTTCTCGGAATAAGTGTGGGTTGAACGATCTGGAAGAACATATACTGGAAGAACATATGTCATTTAGTTTGATAAAAATAATGAGAAATTAAGGAAAATCTGAAACATTGAAAAATAAAATAGAAACGTTTTCATAAGATAAATCAGTGTAATAGTTTGATATACATTGGAATATTAAATTTTCGAAACACTTTCGGAAATATTTTAAATGACGGACATTTCTCCGATTTTATTGAAGCACGTTTTGTTAAAACGGAGTAAAAATGCAAAATAAAATGAATAAATAAATAAAACAAAATAGTAAATAAACAAATAAATGAAGTGCCCATACTTTTCGTATAATCATTAAACAAAGTTGAAAATAATACATATGTAAAACAAAATAGCAATGTATTCACAGGCGCAACTATCTAGTACAAATGTAACTATCTAGTAGCTAGGGATAAATATATTTGTTTCTGGATAATTTTGTTGGCTAAATGAATAAATTGTATGAATTTATTTAATTATTTACAAGTTTTGTTTACCCTCTAAAAAATGAATTGATAAAAATAATGAATGAATCCTGATTTTTCGTGAAATTGGTTGACTGACTGAAACAACATATATGATTTTTTAGAGGGTAAACAAAACTTATAAATAATTAAATAAATTTCCTGAAACCGGTTCCTAAAAAATGCTTCGAGTGAAAATTTAATTACAGGGGTCTGTCCAGACATTATGTGAAAGGTCCGTTTTTCGTGAAATTGTGAAAAATTTACTCGACATTCTTTCAACCAGGGTCCGCTTTTATGAATTTGTGCAAATAGGGTCCATTATTGCAAAAAAAACCTTTTTCAAGGAGTTTTTAAATTGTAAAGACATACAAGATTATGCTCAACACTGTAAAATTATAATTAAAAAAATTACATTTTAAAAAATAAACAACAATTGCTGCTTCTAAATTAGAGATGCAACATACAAATATTTGGTATTTAGCCTATACTGCTGAAAGCAGAATATTCATTTCGGACGAATAATGGAAGAATCGTCTACCGAAGACAAAACTTAATTCGTTTACATCCATCTTTCTTGTTTTCTGCCCTGGAAAGGGTTTATTCGATTAACAAAATAATAATGAAGATAAAAAAGTTTGTGAAGGGTCCGATTAAAAGAAAAATCATTTTGTGAAGGGTCCGTTTTTAAGTTAAAATATTTTGTGAAGGGTCCGTTTTCATGAAAAGATATTTTGTGAAGGGTCCGTTAACGGACCCAAATTTCTTCTAAACAGACCCCTGAATTAGATTGCAGAAATAAGTATCTTCAAATAACATATTGATCAAAGCAATTTATTAGAAAATACAATCTGAAATAAAAGGAGTAAGAGAGAATGAGTGCTTAGATAATGCCAGAAAAGAGTATACTAATACTTGTACCATACTGTTGTACAGTACAATGGTCTTAAAACTAAATATAAGAATGCTGGAAATGTTAAGTTATAGAATAAAAGAGTGCTGGATCGTTAAGTCATAGAGATTGAAAAGAGAGGGTGACCAAGGCCTTCTATTGACTATTTCTCCTGCATAATTTAATGAAAAAGTTTAATGTTTCTGTATTTTACTACATTTTACAGTAATATTTACCTATCAGGCGGGAAACAACATTAACTCCAAATTGCGTTGAAACTCAAGTGACGAAGTAGTTATGTCAAATGTGCGAAAGTTCAAGTTTCTTCAACAATTACAATTAAGTACATTAGTTTTACATTTTTAAAAGCATAACACATACAATATGGCTAAATAGTAGATTTTTAGAGTTTGCTCTGAACGCGATTTTATAATGTTCTAAAATCTTTAAATGTTTATAATTTTTCCTTTTAAAAAGCACAACAACAATTCTATGATGTTGAGCTTAAACATGAATCTGATCACTTTGTATATTAAATGTTTATAAAACATGTACTAAAATGTCTCACAAATTTAAACCGTAATTGGAGCCACGACGGCATGCATAATGTTTAAGGAACTGAGCTGTCATTGTAAAGAGCCCGGGTTCTAAACCCGGGTAGGTTAAAAGTAAAAATCCTACCAACCTACGGATTCGGTAGGTAAAGAGAATGGGTAATAAAGGCAGCCGGTGTGCAATGCTGACTAGATTGCCAACATCATGCCATTCTCAAAATAGGGGAACCTTAAACCACTTGCCCGAAAATTGACCATTGCGGGAATACTTTCGCATTAAAAAAAATTAACAAAGCATACAATAAACATACCGTGGCAGTCTCCCCTCAGTCCTGTGCCATAGTATCCCTTTTGGCAGATGCATGCATAGTGTCCATTGGTTGTGCCACAAGTACATTGGGCTTTCTCATCGCAACAGTCACCACTTTCTGGACAAAGCTTGTTGCATGCACTGGCTTCTTGATCCAAGTAGCTGCCAGTTTGAAGATCTGTACAGAACAATCACTTGTTTAATCAATACATTTTGTAAGTGTTATAAAATAAAGCATATTGAAGAGCTTTTAAAAAAAACTTAAAAAATCAAAAACAGGCCCCTTTAAGCACTTTTAAAAAACGCTACGCCCTGTTTTTTATTTGCTTCTTGGTCTTTTTCGTAATATTTTATGATGTTATTTATTTTTTTACATGTTGTATCTGTTACTCATTTTCTGTTTGACTGAGGTATATCTTTCAAAATATTTGGTGGATCGGAAAGTGATGACGTTTCGGTGCATTTGATATATTTATTATCAAGATATTTATTTTTAATCAATAATGTATTCACCTTCGTTTGCAACAATCTTTCACTGCCAGATCAAAAATGAATCAAAATGGATCGGGAAAAAAATAAATTGGTTTTTTAAGACTAACGAAATTTAATATGCGCCGATACGACATTACTTTCCAGTTCACCAAATATTTGGTTTTGTACTATAGGTTAAACCCTTTCTTTTAATTGCAATTGTATAAAAAAACACATTCAAATAGAAATGAAAATTAAATAATGAGCAAACTGGCTATTATTATATTAATTAAACTAAATGCACCAACTCAATCTTAAGGTGACGACTGATGATACAAGAAAGAAGAACTTGCAACAAAGTCAAATTATTTTTCAGAATGAAAATTATATCACTTGGTGATTTTTCTTGCAATTGGTTGACTGACTGAAACAACATATATGATTTTGTCCGATACCATGCTGCAATCTGGTGCTCATTAGCTAAATAAATGTTCAAATATAAAAAATTTATAGAGGGTCAAGCCTCTCTTATTTTTAAACTTCCAATATTCCTCCTACTTTAAACAGTTTTACTAATAAAAAAAAATATTTTAAGAGAGAACGATTTTCGTACCGACCTTCGTGAAGGGCCCTTCTTGCTAGAGCTTCGAATTCTTCGAAGCTGTCGAGTATGTAGCTGTGTTCTTCGGGAGGATCAGAAGCCATGTCATATAGTTCTCGAACATTTCCATTCTGTATACCGAAAGTGAAAATTTCTACCTGTTGATCTCGAAGTACTTTGGCAGCAGGCCTCGGATCTCCACCATTGGAATATCCATCTGTCACTAGAAATACAGCTTTGGTAGCTTTAGGTCGAGCCTTGTCTAATACTTCCTGCAAATAAAATAAAAAAATATGAGTTTTTTGAGTTTATATTCTCGATCATAATTATGTATCTTATAGCTTATGCTCGAATGCTGTTAATATGTAAATTACCTAGTTAATCTTCAAATGAACTTGGGTAATGCGAAGTGCGCAATCAGGAGTTTTGCTCAATATACCAGGGTAATGTGCGTATTCACGACTTCAGAGTTCAAAAGTTTATTATAAATAAATGGCATTACGTTAAATTCCTTTATTGTAATAATATTTTTAACAATTTGATTCTTAATACACATTTTAAAATAATCAACGATACTAACTATAATTAATTTTATTACTATAATTTTATTACTATAGATTATTAACTATAATAAGTTTCTTACTATGTTTACTTGCTTCTTACTATGCTATACTTGTAGCTATCTCGTGCATTAAAATCTACGTAACGTAATTTTCTAGTCCCATAAAAATGCATGGCACGGTTATCATTTCAATTAATTCTTATGTACAGTTAGACTTTCAAAGGTCTAAGAAAACAATTTTTTTAAGCGTGAATATTTGCTGCAAAAAGTCTCTTTGCATTATTTTTTTTGTTAGTAAAATTAGAATTAATTTTTGAAATTATTACATTCATTAAAAAAACAAAGTTAAGCTCACATTCAATTTTTATGCAAATAAAGAAATTAATCTTAGTTTCAAAATATTTATGCATTAAATATTTTCACGCATTCTTTGATTGATGAACAATGCAATTATAGTGGTTTTTATTGAAAAGGGAGCTGAGGTTTTCAGCCAAAGTTTATCAAAAAATCAAGGTCGAAAATTTACCATATTTTACTGTGCGAATTGAAGTTTTTCTTGAGATTTGTAATTTTCTAATAAAATATATTAAAATCATGATAATATTATCCCCGTATAAATTTTTAATTTATCCCTTCCTATTATCTTAAAGAAAATATATATATTTGAAATATTTAAGTGACATTATTAAAAAAAATTCCAAGATGTTTTGGAAATGCTTTTTAGATGAGTGGTCCCTAATCCCCGGTCCGGTATCGGTCAGTGGATCAAATGGTATCGAATTGCCGAAGGAACAATAAATTAATTCCATTTTATTTACTGTAGTGTATTTGTGTGACTTCTCCTATGAACGAAAGGTTAACAAGTTGAATGCCGCGCTAATTTTACCTGGCTTGCCCGTCTGGCTAACATGATTTTCTCAGTATGTATTGCATTAATTTCTTCAAACCATTTTAGTAACGATAATAATATTAAAAAAAATTAAAAGCATTAAAAATTTACTCGAATTATGTGTTTCTAATAATCTTGGCTTCGCCGGTCACCGGTGACCCCCGTGGCATTCGACGTGTTAACTGGGAGCTAAGATAAAAAGTAATCTGAGATAAAACTTAAAACAAAGATCTGCCACCTAAAGCCGCACACACACCACGCATGTAACTGCATTTTGTTCTGAAGACATGCTTAAATACATTTAAATTAAATTATTATATCAAAACCATCTAAAATATAAACACTCAACATCTGATTCCGGTAAAATAATCAAACGTTGACCGGTCTGCGGTGATAAAAAAGGCTGGGGAGCACTGTCCTACAGGACAGAATAAATTAGATCGTTGTTTATTATTATTATAATTACTATTTTAAAAGAGATATTCAAATCGTTTTGCACAGATTTACTTAACCCTTTGCACTCCCATGTCGCCACTAAAGCGCCATCCACAGTAATTAGTCTAAAATTAAAAAAATTATACCTTAATAATTAGTAACCACATTATTTTAAGAATTTTAAAATATTATATAAAAATAGTGTATTTTAAATGATTTAGTGCCTGTATTAGTGCAAAGGGTTCAAACCAGATACATCTTGCACAGATAGTTTAGATCCGATACTTTTTGTCAGATAGACTTAAAACTCACGTGATTCGTCCGATTTTTTACAGGTCAAGTGAGTAAAGGTCAGTCATCGGTGACTAACGGTGTAAAATACGAAATCGAAAACTAAAAAAAAATTACGTTGTTCTAAAGCAATCACTGAAAATTTAATTTAAAATTTTCAATTTTCATTTATTAAATATCAAATTTTTAGTATTTATATCTGTTAATAGTACGCTTCTCATCGCTTTGTCCAAGGCCGTAATTGGCGAGAGGAGAGTATATGCCCCCTCTATAATTAGAAATCTCTAAAAGTGCCCTTCAATATCTTAGACAAATAAAGAAAATTTTCATGAATCATTATCGATTTCAATTCGCCAAAGTTAAAAAGAAGGAAGTGATAAAAATAATTAATCCTTTCGCAGATATTTAGAAAAATATCTGTGAAATTAAGATATTTAGAAATTCTTTCTTTATGTGTGAAATTTAGAGACTTTGTACTTTAATTACGCAGCTTTCAAACATTGGAATGCGAGCAGTCACACGCAATCGTCACGGTCGGTTTAAGCAAGCGTGCCCTTCTGAGAATTACCTTAAAAATAAGCGTAGCGCTCATAGAGCTAAGAAGATTCCTAACTTATTTAAACCTTTAATGGTCGCATAATTTTGTGAAGAAAAGGGTAATAAAAGTGCCTATTTTTTCAAGAAAATTATATAGAACCAAGTTTGTGTACAATATATGTATTCATTTTTGGATTAATATTCAGCTTAGATGCTTGAGTGCTGTATCTAGTTTAAAATAAACTTACTGTCTTTTTAAGCACATTAAAAATAGTTTTCCACTGCCATCTAGTGTATAGATTGAGAAATAAAGCATGAATATGGGCATAAGAAATATATTGTTTTAATCTTTCTTTTGGAGTGTCATTTTTGAGCACTCCAGCCCGGAAATATCACGGGCACGATATGGAGCGAAATTTCATCCAGTCATTTTGACGGGAACGGATAGGAAGAGATTTAACTACATGAATGAGAATAAACTTGCTTTGCGAGGATGATTAATATTTCATAGAATAAATGATATTGCATTTTAAACTATCATCTCATCTATCTTAAATTGACTTGGTTCCACAAACTTTCTTCTCTTTGCTCAGATAATAAAATCAATTTAAAAACTTGCGGTTTAATAAATAACAGAAAAGATAAAACAACACCTCATAGAAAAACAGAGTTCGTTCGAAAACTAAATCATGCTTCACTTTACGCGGTTTACATATATGGAGGTCTCCATCTTTTCCAAAGTAATCGACTTCAGCTTCAATACACATTTTGCTAGTTCATATTGACGTTATGGTAAAAGTTCAAAATCTGGTAAATCCTATGTTTTACCTATAAAACCGGAGCGGTTTTATTTGCAGCTTGCACCAAAGAGGCTTGGTAAAGGTTCAAAGTATGCTTTAATACAATTCTATTTTGTCCTTTTACCAAGCCTTGGGAGTAAAACCCAGGAATCCTATCACCAGAAGGAGTTGGTAACTCCCAGGTTTTACAGTAAAGGCTGGGTAAAAGTTCGAAATGGAATCATATTAAAACATACTTCGAACTTGACTAAACCACTTTAGGAAAAGATGGGTTTTACCGGGGAAAACCTTGACTTTACAAGATTTCGAAGCTTTTACAGTAACATCGATCGGTATTAGTAGGTACATGTTAACGACTTAACGGGGAAACTGATTCACTATCAACGTTCTTGAACAGTGGAATAGATCTATCGACAACGTTTTTATAGGTTTTATATAAATGAAGTAAATGAGTCAGTTGCATTTTCAATTGTTTTGTTAGTAACTTTGTAATAGGATACCTATCACAATTCTATTATACAATAAAAGAAAGGCGTTAGAATGCCTAATTTTCATTGCGTTTATTTTTATGCAAAACTTTTCAAACAGTCATAAGAGACAATTTGGATGAAACAAAAAATTTCAATTATCCAAAACAGTATCATGTTTGGATTCGAATTTTGCATCACACCTTTAAAATTAACAAGCAACGCTCTGAATAGCTTTAACAGATACAAAATAGCTGTTACATATAAAAGTAGTCATTTTTACTTAATGCTTAACGTGTTTTTCGTTTCTTTAACAGTGATTTGATCTTTCTAATACAATATTTACACTAAGATTATAATTATTTTAATGAGATTGAATATTATCTATAAAGGAATATTGTGTCAGAAAAGTATTGCAAGAACGAGACGCCGACATTTCAAAAATAAAGAATAGCAATTAACGGTTATATCAAATTCCGAGTAATGCAAGACACAAATATGAATGATAAGGTTGAATCAGTTATAACTTCCATCCTCGCTTTTCACTCACAACTGAAATATAGCAGATTTGTGTCAAACATGTAAATGTATGGCAGAGTAATTGCTGAATATCCTGATATCAATTACTCTATTGCTAACAGAACGCGACATTCAAATTAATAAAACCTTATGGAATATGAAGATCGTTTTTTGCAACATTTGATGCCGAACATTGGATCTAATTAAAAGAAACTAATATTTGACGTTAATAGCCTCATTAAATCAGTTGATGGATCTTACGAAGGTGGATCCGATTACGATTCAAAAAAGAGATAAAAATTATCCTGGCGCCTTAGAAACCTTTCTTTTTCATTTAAGCTTCTACTGTAGCAATTCTTGGAAGGGATTTATTAAGAGAACTCTGTAGAAAACAAAGTATGTTTTTCTTTATAAGTAATTTCTTTGTCGTCTTACTTTTTTGGAGAAATGGAAGATTATTTTTAATTTAAAGAGATATGGCGTTCAAGGTTTGTTTTTTTATCATACCATCCTTGCCGAATCTTTTCAGAATTGTTGATGAAAAGTAATTAATATTATCCAGCAAAAAGATGAATATTTAACAGATAAAATTCAGAATTGAAATAAAAACGTATCTTCAAATTAAAGTTAGATTTACACCTTTTGAGCATGATAAAAATATGTCGGAGCGATCAAACAGGTTTAAATTCGAAACGGAAAGCCATTTTAATTTAAAATCATCAGATTTTAATAATCAAATCAATATTCAAATAACCAGATCCAATCTATAGTT